TATTGATATTGCTTTGGCTAGGATTGCTGCCACTTGAAAACATTTTTTTTTATGACAGTTATAATCAAAATTTTAAAATAGTAATTATGTGAAGAGGTGTTTAATCATATTATATGTAAAATTTTATTAAAAGTTATTATGATAGTTTGAATACTGGACTATTTTAAAATCAACTTTTATGAATGGTAAACATTTTAATCATGACTATTAAGAATTGGCTTTGATAACAGAAAATTTAAAATCATAATTGTGTAAAAGAGTTTCTTACCATATTATAGGTAAAGCTTCATTGTAAAGTTTTGTAATAGTTTTAATGCTGAATCTTTGAAGATTCGGGTAAAAGAATATTGCTAGGTATATTAGGATCTTCATGGGTGCAAAAATATTAGATAATACGTAAACATCTGTACTAGTAATTTTTATTATAATACCTTATATAGACTTGATTAAATGGATTTCTATTAAATTTGCATCAAATTATTTGGTAACCCACATAATTTTTTTGAAAAATAAATAACAAAATCGAACATATATAAAATTTAATAATTAAAAATAAAAGTGAATATGACTGCAATATAATTCCATAAGAAAAAGGATGAATATATTTCAATACCCTCCTCGTGAGTAAAGTTTTGTTAGTAAGTTGTTTTAGAGATTATCAGCCAATTTGTAGTTTTTTTCATGATCATTACAATAGTTATTTAGGAAAAAGTAAATAAAAAATGTTTTAAAAATACCATAAGATATTGGGGTATATTATTTCATCGATAGTTGACGACAGTACGTTTTACTAACAAGTTTTTTATAACCTTACCTCTAATTCTAGCAAAGTTTAAAAGACCATTCTTGTAAAAACACATTTTTTTAGGATAATACCGAATACTTTTGAGAATAACTTCAGTTTATCAGACATTTCTTTTGTTATCTTAGTAGTAGATTTAATAAGAAAATAGGATTTCAGATCACATCACTATATTTTAGACTTTTTTCAATATTCTCAAGTTTTTTCAATCACTAACGACTAATAGAAGACTTTGGAAGTTAGTACAATAAACCTGATATAACACAAAATATTATTTGTGATGTAGTGATGTGATCCGAAATTTATTGAATATCTATTTTCTTATTAAATCCAATAGAATTTAATATGAAAATCAAATCCTATAGATTTCGGATCACATCACTATTGTGATAATATCTCACCCCTTAAAAAGAATATTATAGCAGTTTTATAGATCAAATCTGATAATTCTTCACTTATACAAATACTTCGTCTTCTCAGATCATTATTAATGATTTATTTGAATATATCAAAAAGGAATATATCAAGCTATACAAATTGGAGTCAATTATTATGTCACAAAGAAAAATATAATTTTTTTATAGTGTATTAAAAAATTACATTGTCATTTTAATAACTGAAAATTAAATTTTGATTTTGCCTTATGAGACATCACAAATCAGTAAAGTATGATGATGCATCATCCCTTATAGTATGATAAATTATTATTATTATTTTTTTGCAAGATAAAAGAACAGTCAAACCATTCATCTCGTTCTTTAAATGGAATCAGATAACTTATCCGTAAACAATTCTCCAAAAGAAAAATCACCAATCCAAAATTTTTCTAAAGATGAGTTAGAAGAAAGAATTATTGAAACTGATAAGAAAATTAAAAAATTACAATTTGGTAAATATAATTAGTATTAATCTTTTACTGTATAAAATTTTGTAATATTTAAAAGAATTTTTTAAAGAAAAAAGTAAATATGAAAAAGAATTAATGAAGCAAAGAGAAGAAGAACACGTTATAAGAAGGAGTAAAGCAGAAAATAGACTTAAAAGAAAATTGAAATATTTTGAACAAATTAAAAAATACAAAAGATAATATTTAATTTTTCCAATTTGCTGCTATGTAATATTTTTGTAAATGAATGCTTATATTATTGACGATAATATCTAAATAAATAATATAAGCTTAATCTATAAACATTTATCAAAAAAAATAAATAATAATAATTTGTATGTATTTTAAACATTTACTGTTTGACATCACTAGAGTATAGTATTATCTTTATTCCTTATTCAACAATCCAACT